CTGGCCTCCGCTCTGTCGTCGGCCGCGGGAACCCCCGTCCCTCTGCTGGGCGCCCTCTCCCTCGGGTGCGGCCCCAGGGCCTGGCGGCTGGAGATGCGGTCACTCCCTCCTGGGCGAGGCCTCTAGACACATAGCCGGCGTTCTTCTCCACCCCGCCGTGTCTCGGGTGCAAGTGTCCAGAAGTGTTTGCTGGCCCTGAATCTGGTGGCCAAGGCCAGGAGGGGGAGGGGACCCTGGGCAGGGGTGTGGCTGCCTCCTGAGGCTGGCCCAAGTGAGGGGACCCCCTTGCAGCGGGGCGGGGAGTTTACTCTTTCGGGAGTCTCCTCGTTACCACAGTCAGGGACCCGCTGCCTGTGGCTACCCTATGGGCAAAAGTCCAGAGGACAGGTGTGGTGACGCAGGAAAGGAGTCTTTATTCAACAGCTTCCCAATTTTGGAATAACAGACTTCCACCGGCTGTAGTCCCTGATGCCTATCAATTAAGCTAAACCCTTTAACCTTTAGTTAAAGCTTTAATCACTTAAGCCTATCAATTAAGGCTAAACTCCGGCACCTGAGTTCTCCTAGCATTTCTCCCTGTTTTCTCTTCTTTCTATAAGGATAGTTTACAGACTAAAGCAACAGATGACACAAAAGCTATGCAATTTTGGCCCCGGTTGGTGTGGCTCAGTGGACCGAACATCGGCCTGCGAACCAAAAGGTCACCAGTTTTGATTCCCAATCAGGGTGCGGGCCTCGGTTGCGGGTTCAGTGCCTGGTTGGGGGCGTGCGAGAGGCAGCCGACTGCGGTTTCTCTCGCATGTCAATGTTTCTCTCTCTCATTCTCCTTCCTTTTCCCTCTCTCTAAAAAGAAACAAAATCTTAAAAAAAAAAAGAAAAAAAAAGAGCATCTCGCTCTGATTTGTTTTTTTAAATTTACATTTAAAAAAAATGCTATGTTTTCTCTCCCTCTCCCCCTGATTTGAGTTGCCGCAGTTTTGGGGGAGGCCACGACGCGTTGCCTCCTGGGTGCGCCAGCCATTGGCACACTCGTGGCCTAAGGACCGGCCCTCTTCCCATGACGTCATCCCTCTTTTGCTATTATACCTGCAAACACGCCTTGTATGTTAAAGAAACTGGGGCCTTGTATTTGAGTGGCATGGAAAGGAAACAGTCAACCACACACCTAAGCGAGCGGGTGGTTCTGATGTTGGTTTGGGAGCTCGGCGGTGGGGTGACGCTGCCGCGCGGTTTACGCGCCTGTCACGCAACAGCAAAGCTGGGAGCGGGCGTGTGGCTGTGGTCTGTGCTTTAGAGGGAGACCAGCCCAGAGCTGGGAGGCCACGTCACCCCTCCACCTCGCTTCCCAGGCAGACCTCCCCCGCCCGTCCTGCGCGCTTGCCCTCCAGCCTGGCTGGGCCTCAGCTTCCTTCCTAAGTGAAAGCTCCCCGTGGTCGGCGGTGACTTGAGCTGTTGGGCATTGACACCGTGTCCACGGTGCAATATCACCTGCTCTGGAAGGTGACAGGATGCATCCACGCACAGCCTGGAGGCAGCCTCGGGTTTCCGCGGGGCAGGACCCTCCCTAGGAGACGGCGCCCGGCCATGGGAGGTTCGGGCTGCCACGTCCACGAAGGGCACAATGAGGTTCCGTCTGGGCTCTGAAGGTGGGGTGGGAGCTGGGCAGAGGAGGGGGCGTGGGGGAGGCGGGGTGGCGGGCCAGGAAGGTTCACAGGAATAGAAAGATCCGGTGATGCAGCCAGGCATTTGTGGGCCGTGGTTGTTGGTCCTGCCCCTGCTTCTTGGCCCCACAGGGGAGTTAGGGGCCTTCCCAGATCTAAAGAAAGGGGCTGGCGGATGGAGTCCCCCGGGGGCCGCGGGGGACAGCTTGCCCCTTCCCCGGTCTTTGACGTCATTCTCCAGGCTGGGCTGGCCAGGCTTTGGGTGTAAATTACAGACCTCTAGGCACCTTGTGTCTCAGGCTGAAGCTCTTTAGACAAATCCACCACCCAGGCGTGGGGCCTGTCTTTCCTCCCCCCGCCCAGCGAGGCTCCCGCCTGCTTCCAGGTGGCTTTGCAATTTAAACCGGAAGGCGCCGAAGCCTTTCCTGCAGCCGCCTTGGACAGCCGTGCTGCTTTTCCATGTCCTTCCCACTGATCCTTTGGCTTTGCGTATCCCCCCACACCGCCTCTCATTCCACTGCGAAATGAAATGTTTTTACAACATCCGAGGGAAGTAGTTCCACATCTGGATCACCGCAGGTGGCAACCTGGCTGCCTGGGCTTCTTGACGCAGCCCAGCGGTGGCACTGTGCGCCCTGGACACGCGCCCTCGCGTCCTCACCAGCTCGTCTCCGTGCGCGTGCGCACACACCGGGGCTCACGCAGTTCTCCCCGAACACATTTGTTTATATCGGGGTAAACATTGTAGATGCTGCACAGAATGACCGGAATGGCAGCTGCTGTTTGTCGAACTCCAAGCACCGAGCGCCCCCGAGGAGAGGCTGTGGCCCAGGAAACGCGGGGATGAGACCGGGTTGCCGCCGGAAACTGGCAGCCGCTGGGCTCAGTTTGGTGCCCAGGTTGATGTGTGGGCTCTGTAGAGCCCCAATCCCCCTTTCTTTTAAAATTTAAATTGTGGCAAGATACACAGAGCATCACATTTATTCTTTTAGCCACTTTTGAGTGTCCAGTAGGGCGGCATTAAGTGCACTCGCATTATGCCCTCTCTACCGAGGGGCTGCGGACTTTACAGCGCCACTTTTTCTCTGCATTGAGAGGCAGGCCTAGTTTTTCCCCAGGATCGAGCAGCTCCCGGGTCTCCAGGAGGGGAATACAGAGTGTTTTATGGTCTGGCGGGGGCTGGGGGGTGAGGTTTTCTCCTCTTTGTACCCTGGTTTGTACTTCACATGGGCCAGTGCAGCCAAGCCTCGCTGGGACAGGGGCCAGGGCCGCACCTGGGTGAGGCAGGTAAGGAACGGCGTCATCCGCCGCCCAGCGCTGCTGATTCAAAGAGCGGGGCCTTAAGGGAGGAGAGTGTCGCTCAGCTGGAAAGCAAACGCCGGGAGTGGGGGGTGGTGGTACAGCGAGGCAAATTTGAAGGGAGAGGCAAATTTAGGAGAAAGAGGCTTGGAATCCCTGCAGAAGGTTACACTCTTGTCTCCTCTCAGTAACGACACCTAAGGAGGGGACCGAGGCAGCGACAACAAGGGTCGAGTTGGAGGACAGTATTTCAGTTAAGAGATCCCCGTGGGCCAGACCTCCCGGTCACCCGGATTGTACTGAGGCCTGGCCGTGCGGCAACGGACAATCAAGTGCTTGGGCTTGAGGTCTGCGAGTCCCAGGGCCTCCAGTTGCTTAAGCAGACATCCCAATGGGGAGCCCTTGGCGGGTCGACTGAGCATTGGCCAAGGTGGGGGCTACGAAAAAGGGGAGGGTGTCTCAGGGACGGGGACAACCGAGGGGGGGGAGGTTTGAGGAGGGCGTCCCCAACTCGAATGACCTGGAGATCTGCGGCCAGAGCTGACCTCCCCGAGCCCGAGAGCAGACCCACCGCGAGGGCCCGCCTCGGACCAAGGCGCCCGGGGTGCCAAGAGCAGACGGAACCAGCAGGGAGACGGTTGGTCGGAGGTGCCCTCCCTGCCGACCCCCGGGAAAGTGGTGGGCCCAGTCCCGGGGTTTAAGACAATGAGAAGAGGGGCCACGCCCCTTTGATAGGATGTTTTTGTCCCGAGAGTCAGAGAGACTTACGGATCGCCGGCCGTGAAGGCGGGTGCGGAGGAGGCTGTCTGCAGAATCCGGAGAGATGGAGAAGGATCACAACCCTCTCTCGGAACCTCCCAGAGACAGGGTTAGGGGGCTGGCCTGGACCGAGCTTCCACTGCACACTGCTTCCCCATCGCAAGTCTCAGGAGGCCGGAGGAGGGGGAGAAGCAGAGAATGTCCTTGCACGGGTGACCAGAATGTTAGGGTGGTCGGTGACATGGCTGGGAAGGAATTCAGAGAGAGAAGCACGTGTAGAGAATAGAGGTTTTTATTCGCCCTCCAGGGGAGGAGAGGGGCTGGTGTGCAGTGATACACCAGACTTGAGGGGCAAGGGAGGGGCTTGGAGCATTTAATGGATTATACTTGGATTAAAAAAGGGTGAGGGGGTGCTGGTGTGGGGCCCCCCGGCTGCTGGGGCCTCGGAACAGGAGGCTACAGTTTGCTCCGATGTTCTCTTCTGCCTGGGGCTCCTGCTGGCGGTTAGTCCTGTTCTGCTTTCGCTTTCCAGTAATTTGGGCCTGGGGCCACAGCTCAGAAGAGTAAACCGCAGCGGCAGCCGGTCTGTTTAACAAGGTCACAGGCCTGCTGGGCAGATGGTGCCCCGATAGCAAAGGTGCTAACTTTGTCCCTTCAGTCCTTTCATCTAAAGGAGAAAGTCTCTGGATAGATGCCCAAGGCACAGGTCTGCTGATAACAGTGGCTCTACGGCATTTTGCCGTGTATGATGCGCGCACACAATTTTGGCCCAAACTTTCAGGAAAAAAAAAAATCTCTCGTTTTAATTTTTTATTACCATTTGTGTGTGTGTGTGTGTGTGTGTACACACACACACAAATAAAACCGATTATCGTATTCCAGGGTATTATTTTGCGTACGGATATCGTTATTGCTTTCCAGAGTTACACTTTTAATGCATAAGCATAACTAAAAGAATTAACAACATTTATATAGATATGGAATTAGTACTACCCATGTATAATATGCACCCTTATCTTTCCCTGAAAAATGCGGGCACAAGTGCGCATTATACACGGCAAAATACGGTAAGGGTTAGGTCTTCAAACTGGATCTAAAATGAAGTCTAGCTAAGCGGAGGGGTTGGGGGGTAGAAGAGGTAAGGGAGCGGAGGGTGGAGGCGCGCGCTCTTCACGTTCGCCGCGCCGCACTATTAATCTACGCCAGAAGGGGGCAGTGATGCCGCGGCGATGGGAAGGGAGAACGCCTGGGGAACTCTTGAGCCTTTGTGGACACCGTAGCGGAGTTCTACTGGTGGGGCTTTAACTGCCCGGAAATGGAAGTTTCCTTATTTTCTGTTTGTTGCCACTTGCTGTAAATGCCTCTAGGGCGGGATACATGAAATAGGGGCGAGTAACCCGAGGTAATCCGCGGCCGGGTGAAATTCTCCTGGGTCGAGGGTGAGGGTGAGGGTGCGGGGAGGGAGGGTGGAGCGCTCTGGGTCCGGAATTGCGGCGGGTGGGGGATGAAATGAGGAGGTCGCTGCGGCCCCTGCGCCCTGTTGTCGTTAACATCTGTCTTCCCTGCAGGTGCCGGCGTCGCGCGCTCCGCGCCTTGTAGCCATGGTGAGTACAGCCCTCGCCTGGGACCTTTTCCGGGACGCGCGGGCCCCCGGGACGAGGGCAGCAGCGCTTTCGCGAGGGTCTCCGGAGGCCCGGGAGGGGCTGGCGGACGTGACCGTCCCCAGAAAGCGCCTAACCATAGCGCATCTCGTTCTTTATTTTGCAGCCTCGCCAAACTGCGGAACCCAGGACTTCCGGCCCCAACCTGGCGGAGGGAGCCGGATGTGCGCGGCCACAGCGTGAGCCAGTGGGCGGGGCGGCCCCGGATCCTTGTTGGCCGGTGTGTGCTGCTCTCTAACCGATGCTGAACATTTCAAAAACCGCTGCGAGCGAGTTTTTTTGTTTTTTTTTGTTTTTGTTTTTGTTTTTTTTTTGCGTCGTCGCGGTTTGGGTTTGGTGCTGAGAGCTCCCGCGGCGCGCGCCGCGCCAGCCCGGAGTCCGAGCCGCGGGCTGGGCTCTGGGCCGCGCGTGTACCCTACTAGCGGTGAGCGTGACTTACCGAGTAATTTCACTGGGACGCGTGTTGGTCTCTCGAGCTGTAGGAAGGGGACACGGAGGGGATGCGTCGGGAACAAGACAGCGGACGGAGAAGTGGCGGGGCCGTTCCCCTGGCCGGTGTCTCCGCGTGTCCGCTCAGAGCAGGGGTGTCCGCCCAGAGCAGGGGCGGAGGTGGGTCATGCTGGGCCCGCGCATCCCACGAGGCGGGCCACGAACTCATGCCTTCTGTTAGCCGGAATCCTCTTGTTTCTGCTACTGCAGGGCGCCCTTTCCGCTGAACTGGGTCGCGAAGAGAAAGGCAGGTCCTCGTGCACGTGGGAGGTCAAGGCGCTGACCCGCGGGCGCTCCTTGTCAGCAGTGGAATGTAATGGTGGGGTGTGTGGGGGGAGCTTTTGGTGGGTTCACAGGGGTGGGGACTTGAACGGGCCATTGCCTTTGACACTCCGTTCCTCCCCCCCACCCCCCAGCCCATGTCGAGTCTGGAACAGTGACTGCACGGGGGAGGTGACCTTCACGGGGCCTGGGGCCACGGCCCATTCAAGTCCCAGTTCCTTCAGCAGGGAGCTGTCTGACAAGATAGACAGGAAACTGTGTCCTGGTGTTGGGGGTTGGACAGTAGCTTCTGTCCCCCGGGATTGGTGCAAGGATCACAGCAGATGGCCTGGTAGAGGCCTTAGTACAATGAAGAACCAACGCGAGGGCCATTCTATTTGTCTGCATTTTAATGCTGTTGGAGAGCCTGATTCTCGACAGCTTGTCCCTTGGAGGCAGGGACCATGGTCCCCTGGGCATAGTAGGGTGTTCAGCAAGTGTCAATTCTGCCTTTAATTCTAATGGACATAATATAGAATCGACCGCTTTTAAGTGTCCCATTTCTCTGGCATTAAGCACATTCACGGGCACCTGCAAAGTTGGTTCTGCGGAGCTGAAACTGCCGCCACCTGGGGTCTCCCCGCTCGCCCTCCACCGTGGCTGCCACCGGGCCGCCTTCTCTGTCCGTTCGGCTGGGGTACGAGCCTCCTACGGGAGGTCAGACGGCGTTTGCCCCTTTGTGGCGCTTCCTCACTCGGCGTTGCGCCCTCAAGGCCGAGAGAGCCGCTGTGTGCGCGGCCCGTGTTTGTCTCCCCGCTCATCCTGTGGTGGGCCTTTGAGGGGTCCCACCGTTTGGTTATCATGAGTAATGTGGTGGTGGACACGTGTGTACAGATTGCTCTTCTGGTCCCTGCTTCCACTCGGGGCGCACACCTGTTCTCAGCCCTGCTGCGTCACGGTGACGGTGAACAGGCGTCGCTGAAGCCATCCACGCGCCCGACAGGTGCCTGGAGGCGCACAGCAGCTGCCGGGGCAGCGCAGCACACGGGCTTTGGAGGGATGCTGCGCTAACACGACAGCTTGGTTTGAATGAACGTCCAGGTTTCTGGATCGACAAATGCGAGCCGAGTCACCAGTGCCGTGTGCAGGCTCGGGGCTGTGGGACCTCAGCGTCCCGTTTCGTGCCCTGTCCCCTTAGCAGCCGATGACAGAAACGGGGTTGTGAGCACAAGCGAACCCTGTGCCGCTCCTGCGACATGCAGGGTGCCCGAGCCTCTGTTTGGTCCTCAGCCACCAGCTTCGCGATCGGCTCTCATGAACGGCGCGTGCCAGGGATCTCGGCTGTGCGCCCCTTACGGGCGAGGCTGTGCCTGGCGGTCTGAGGCGGCTCCGAGGCGGGGCTGCGGGCGCTGGGGAGCGGCTGCGAGTACAGATGATCTTCAACGGGGAGGCCTGACCGCACAGAGACCACAGTAAATCAGCTGCGTGCAGACTCATGTCGGAACCCTGTCAGTGGGTGGCGGACGCCAGTCCCGCTGCATCTGGTGGCTCTCAGTCGGAATCCAGCCTGCGCTTCAGCGTGCGCGTGGCCCGCCCGTTGTTTTGTTTACCACTTCTGTCCGTGCCTCTTTCCTGCTCTGCAGTCCTGTCTCAGTCACAGTTTGGGTGGCCCGCCCGCTCCCCGTAGCCAAAATGAGTGAAGAAAAGTGTCGCTGGAGAGCGGCTTTGAAAAGGGGGAAGACTCGGAGGCCGCCAGCAAGCAGAAAGCGGCACGTAAGAGAAAATACGCTCGTCTGCTTGAGTCACAGGCTCATTGCCCCCAGTGGCTCACATCCCCCGAGCCCGCTCTGCCTGCTGCGGGGCTGATGGCTGTCCACGAGGCCTGGAGAGCTTCGAAGCTGCTCCGCCACGTGGAGACCGAGTGCCTCGCATTGAAAGACAGGCTTTCGTTGCGTCTCAGAAGAAAACGCGCACACGAAGAGCAGGAGCACCTGCACCGAGAGCGTCCCGCGGCGTCGCTCGCTGCGTTGCTAAAGCCAGGAATCCCTTCCTGTGGGCGAGGCTGTGTCCTGCCTGCTGCGAAGGACGTTTGTCGTGAAGTCTTAGGAGAGGCTGCAGCTCCAAAGGTGGCACGTGTTCCCCTTTCGGCCGGCACTGTGACTGGACGAAGGGCTCTCACAGCAGGGGATGTGGGGGCCCAGCCTTCAGAGAGGGTCAGTGAGTTGCCTTAGCCAGGCTGCTGAGTCCACCGATGGCGGTGGTGAGGCAACAGGGTTTTTTTTGTGTGTGACATCCTTTTCAGGAGGATGTGCATGAGGATGCGTTACGTACGCTTTGGTTGCCAACCAGCACCACGGCTGCAGAACTGTTCCAGCCTTTGAGTGATTACAGATCAGGAAACATGAATTGGTCATTTGGTGTCCATGTGTGCAGGGACGGGGCGGCCGCCGTGAGCGGGCGGTGTCCTGGTTTCAGTGCTTGGGTCAGAGAGGTCGCTTCTGAATGGGAGTTGTGCACTGTGTCACCCATGGAGAAACGCTGGCTGGCCAAAGATGTCACCTGCACTTCACATTTTGCAGCATGTGATTAAAATGATCAGCCACATGAGAGTTCATGCTCTTAACGCGCGCGTGTTCGCGCAGCAGTGTGAGGAGGTGGGCGCAGCGCGCACACGTCGTACACAGAAGCGGGGTGGCCTTCTAAAGGGGGGCCGCTGGCTGAGGATTAAATTCTGAGAGCCGCTCCGGAGACTTTTTTTTTTTTTTTTTAGAAAAACAGTCACCCCTGGCGGCACATTTCAGCGACACAAAATGGGTCACTAAACTCACTCGTGTGACATATTCAGCCTGCCCAGGGCACTCAACCTGTCCCTTGAGGGGAGAGCGACAGCGGCGTTCAAGTCGGCAGATACAGTGCTGCCCTCGGAGCCAAACGGGAATTGCGGGGGCGACAAGTGTACGCCGGGATTTTTGACGTGGTTCAAACAGTAGCCGAGGTCTTGGAAGAGACTGAGCCGGGGCCGCCCGTCCTGGCTCGCGTTCCTGCCCAACCACAGAAGACCCCGAACGCGGAAGGAAAGGACCCGCGGCCCACATGTGAATGAGCCGGGGGATCGACTCTGTCCATGCTAGAGGAGGGTCAGCTGCCTGAGGTCGCACTTGGCAGTGACCTTAAAAGTGTGTCTGAGACAACAGTCAGGCCTCCCTCCGCTGTGGGTTAAAGTCGAGGCGGAACGCCCTGAGGCTGCCACAAAGCACGGAAAAGCCACCTCCGCTTCCAGCCTCCTGTCTCTGTGAAGCAGTAACAGCCACAAAACGAGACTACGGAGTCGACCGGGCACAAGCAGCACACCGGAGGGGTCACTGCCTCCCGTCGCCCTGGGGGGACCATCTGGTCGCGGGAAAACAAGCTCAGGGCTCCCACGGACTCTGTGTTACCATGAGCTGTGTAATTGCTTCGTTACATAGTACAGGGTCATAATCATCGAAATAAAGCACACAATAAGTGTGATGCGCTTGAGTCATCCTTAAACCGCGCCCCCCCGAGTCCGTGGAGAAATTATCTTCCATGAAACTGGTGCCCAGAGGTCGGGGACAGCTGAGTTTAGCGGAGGGTTGGCGCTGGGGGCGGATGCGCTGGGGGCACGGTGGCCCTGAGGGCGGCCCCTTCGCGGCAGAGTGAACCAGCACTGCTGGGCTTCTTTACAAAGGCTGGCAGATACTTTTTTTTTTTTTTTTTTTTTAAATAAAACACTGTTTTAAGCAAAACCTCCCCGGTGGGCTTAATTTCCAAGCTTCGCAAGCCCTCCTCAGCGAAGTACAGAATCCGGAGAAGCAGCAGTAGCTCAAAATGTATCTTCTGGGCGACTCACTTTTCTCCCTCTGGCTCTAGGTCTGGCAGTGAAGGAGCGGAAATGAACCACGGATCTGTGTTAAAATGTTAAAGGTTCCCAGTGTCTTGTCTTTGAAGAGGAGAAGGGCCGTGTTACTTGGTGACGGCTTCTGCTGGGGATGGGAGGGCGGTCCTGGCTCCCACCGCCGTGCGTCCCTGATCTCGGGCTGTGGTCCCAACGGACCAACACGGGCATCCTTGATTTAGGCTGAGTTTGAAAATAAAGAGATGGAAATAGGCAGACGAGCCAGCCACTTGTGGGCGTAAGGCAGTATGCGCTCAGGAGATTTAAGTTGCCTCAATGAGAGGAGCTCCCGGGTGATGAAGCTGTCAGAAGCGGGAAGTGACGAGCCCTCATGGACGGGGCTGCAACCGAAGCCACCGTTGGAACGGGCGCTGCCCTCCTGCCCGCCCGCCCGCTGCGCTGAGGTCGAAGTTGCTTTTATCTTCTGACACTGCGTGTTTCTTAAGTGCCGTTCGTGAGGAAGGAGTCCAGGGACCGGAGGCTGCGCGACGAGACCCGGGCAGGTGGGAGGGCGGTTCAGATGCTGGGCTCCGCGGGAGCCTCTGGAACCGAGAACAGAAGAGGGGGTGTCGGTCAGCCAAGTGGGCGAGCGTCCCAGGGAGGGGGCACGTCCTGAGACGGGAAAGGTGGCCTTGCACCGACTGCAGAGACGAGCAATGAAATCAGCTGACATTTAAGGGGAGGGGCTGGGGTCCTGCCCGTGGTCAGACCCTGGGCCTCCAGGCCGTGGGCGGAGGCCGAGCTCACAGGAAGGTGGGAGTGTGGATGTGGAGCTGCGCCACCGGCAGGAGGGCCCACACCCAGCGCCAGCGGCAGTCCGGTCCCAGGCGGGCCTGGCTCCTTGGGGTTTAAATCCTGGTTCTGCCGCTGGGTGACCTGCACGGTCTTGACAGAGGACCTTGCCTCCGAGTGCTACGCGGAGACAGTGTTTGTGGAGCCTGAAGTGCCCCAGGCTCACTACGTACTGTGTGGCCTCGCTTTCCGGGTTGTTACGGCAAATAACCATGATACTTACTCCCGTGGTTGGTTTTAAGGGTTAAATGAGGTAATGTTAAAGGTTTAGATGTGCTCTTGGTGCTGGCAAAATTGAGATGGAGGCAGGGTTGTGTCAGGATCGGCCACAAGGTGGAGACATACTCCGCCAGATGGGCAGCGGGCCGGCCCGCCTGGCGCTGGTTCACCGGCTGAAATGCACTCCCGAGGAGCCCAGCGCCTGAGGCCCGTGGTTTTTCTTTAAGAGTCAGAAGGGCAGGAGGTGGTTGTTTCCTTCGGGAGAGGGGCCCACGGATGCTCAGTGACTTGATGGCCACACATGGGGGGCACCTCCAGTGAGCTGGGGCTTCCTTCCCTTTCCACGTTCAGTTCCTGGGAGGGAGCGTGCACCGGTTGGGCTCCCTTTGGGAGACAAAGGGAGCCCAAACAGTGCAGGCTTCCTTTGTCCTGGCACGTCCAGAGACCAGCCCAGCTCCAGGAGACGCACCCTCTCCTTCACCCTTCCCAGGTTGTGCCTGGAGGTCCCAACCTGCCGTGGTGGCGGAAGCAGGTTCCAGAGACCGTGGCTACGCTGGGCTGCGGCAGGGGTGTGTGTCTCAGCCCTCCGGTGGCAGGACCCCCCGCCCCACCCCACCCCCCGCCTTGCTGAAATCGGCCTGTCAGCACGGGCGAGGGCGAGCATGTTCTGGCCGCGCCGGGAAGGGCACAGGCACGGTCTGGGAAGGGCCGGAGTGCTGGTCTCTCTTCAACTCCCTCGACAAGCCCTGGGAGGCCCCTGTTCAACCTCTGCGCCTGGCACACCTGGCTGGCCCCAGGCCTCTGGGGGAGCAGCTAGGACGCTCGCTTCTGGCCGGGCGCACGGCAGCCAAGTAGGCTCGGGGTTCCACTGCGCCGGGCAGCGGCAGCCGCGGCCCTGAGAGCCGGCCCCGGCAGGTGCCGCCGGCCTCCCAGCAGGTGCGCGGGCCTCCCCCACCCCTGCCCACTCCCTCCCCGGCTCGGGCCCAGCCGAGCAGAGGCGGCCCTGCTCCACATTCAGGGTCCGTCCCGGGGGCACGACCCCTACACTGACCAGGAGGCAGGCCCCTGCCACGTCGGGTGCCTGGTCCCTTGTCCCGGCCCTCCTGGAGATCTGACAGTCCCCAGGTGTGACTCGCCTTCCTAGAGGAATGCCAGGTCCTCGTAACCCACCAGTCCCTTGGGAGGCTTGGCAGGGACAGCAGCTGCTGCCTTCTGTTGCCGCTGACGTGGAGGAAGAGGAGACAGCGCGTGTGGCACCAGCTGGGCCTGTCCCCGGGTTCCTGGGACAGTGTGGGCGCGGCGGCCCGGTCACGCCTGTCATCACGGAGGCCCCGCAGGGTGGTTCCAGGTCCGCTCTCCTCTGCAGCCAGAGGCAGCGGCAGCGGCAGCGGCTCCGCAGACCCCAGCCCTTGCCAGGGCCGAGGGGCTGTGTGGGGCGTGAGCTTTGCTCACCTCGCAGCCTCTTTCTTAAAAAATAAAGGTATGTATTTTATTTTAAATTTTTTAAAGATTTTATTTATTTACGTTTAGAGAGAAGGGAAGGGAAGGAGAGAGAGGGAGAGAAATACCCATGTGTGGTTGCTTTTTGCACACCCCCTGCTGGGGACCTGGCCTGCACCCCAGGCCTGTGCCCCGACTGGGGGTTGAGCTGGCGCCCCTTCGGTTCGCAGACCGGCGCTCAGTCCACTGAGCCCCAGCAGCCAGCGCTCTTTAATCATTAAGTTTACAAAGTTGTAAAGGATGTGATTTCTAGCATGTTGTAAAATTTGACATTTGTAAAACAAAGTGGTTCCTCACTCTATAAAAGCAAATCCTGGTATTTTGTCCTGTTTCCAGGGACTGAACAAGTCCCATTCCTTGCTCAAAACGAAGCAAGGCAGCGAACAACAGCCTCCTGAGAGAAACCCCGCCCCCAGAGCCCCCAGATACTAGACCCCGGCTCTGTTCTGCAGCAAGAACCTCAACCCAGACCTTCGCTCTGTCCGCGCTGTGTCCCGGCCCTTAGGGCCCGGGGCAGGCGAACGCACATGGGGTGACCGGTTCCCATGTGATTTTTTTTCTCCTTTAAAGACTTGCTGGCTTTTTGCATTTGGTGAGCCCCTCCTTCTGAAGCCTGTCTCCTCCGCACTCTTCAAGGAAACTGCAGTCCAAAACGCATCTGTCCCCAGCCCTGGCCGGGGAGTGCAGGTGGGGGAGCGCCGCCCGGCTGTGCCGGGGCCGCGGGGTCCTTCCCCGGCCAGGGCACGTGTGGGACCTGGCTGGTGACGCGCAGGCCGGTGACGCGCAGGCAAGCGGGACAGCAGCCAGCGGCTGCTCGCTGGGTCGCGCCCTCCACACCAATAAAATTAAAGATGCGTCTGTCTCCAGTTTTCCTTCGGCGAGTCTTTTAAATATATAAAGTAGAATTAAGTAATGCAGCAATGTGAGCCCAGGCCAAGACCAAAGACCTGGACAGATTCTTCATGGTTCTTTTCTCCGCCCCCAGGGTCTCTGTTTCACGCCACGTTCCCCGGAATTTTAATAAACACATTTTTTTTATGTTTGAAAGTAATTCACTGACCACCCAAGTGCAAGTGTCTGCAACAAAAGCGTGTAAATAAAGTGTTTTATTTCCTGTGACTCAGACTCCCAGTATTGGAAAAAAAAATTCTGGATTGAATGACTTATACAATTAATTGATCAAGTCAACATAAATATGTCTAAGTTATGGTATGTATTGATTTTAAATACGTATAAAAGTTAAATTGCTGTTGGGCGGCATCTCTTAATGAGGCCACTGAGTGTGTATGTTTCAGAGGGTTCCTGAGCATCGGGGGAGTATCGCGCATTCCCTGGTCTCGCGTGGCCTCCGTCCCTGTTCATCTTCATTGGAGCAGACTGCGAGCAAACTTGTTTACTTAAATTCACACACGGTAATGGGGTGGCTTTGTTCAAGATGTGCACTTTGGAGATTTAAGCCACAAACCATACAGTGATTATCACCAAAAGCAACACAAACAAAAAAATGGATCAGATTACGTTCTTCTCGGGAAAGAATTCCCGCCACCGCGGCTGGCGCCTCCGCACCCAGGAGGGCGCAGGAGTGGCTGGGTCCTTCCCACGGGGCCCCACCTCTCCTTTCTCCTGCAGGGTGGTATGGGGGGTGGTGGTGACCGGGAGGTCGGGACCCAGAGGCCCAGCCCCCCCTGGGGACGCGCTCTGGCGTAAGCGGGGGCGGCGCCCACCGGCGGGGCAAGGAGTTGGGGCCCGGCGCGGCCGTGCTGGCCGTCCAGTCCAGGGGTGGGCGTCCAAGGGGGCTTTGGCCCCTGAAGTGACGCCGCAGGGTCCGGCTACAGGGAGGGCGAGGGGGCCCCCGCCTGCTGGTCGCAGAGGGCGGAGGTGTCCGAGCCAGGGCCACCCGCGGGCGTCGGAGGGCTGTTCCGAGCTCACGCCCTCCCGCGTCGGGGCCCCAGTGACCAGGGCGTGGGGGTAACCGGGCGTTGTACGTGTGCTCAGGGCGCGTGTGGCTGCGGCGTGGAGTGGTGTGTGTGCGACACGTGTGGTGCTCGGGGCGCGCGCGTCGTGGTCGGGCACGCGTGGGCAGTGTGTGCTGTGTCGGCGTGCGTGAGAAGAGTGTGTGGCGTTGCAGCGTGTGCGGGCCGTGGGTGGGGCTCTGCACGGTGCCTCCTGAGCCCCCGCTCGGGGATCAGAGGACTTCGCCCCCGAACCTCAGGCCACCGTCCCCAGCTGAGAGCCGCAGGTAACCATGGCAACAGAGGCCCTACTGCCCCGCGAGGCAGGAGTGAGGGTGTGTGCCGTTCGCCCGGCCCCGCGAGCTTGGCAGAGAGGAGGCAGGCGCCCGACGAGGAACCCCCCAGCCCAGGCGTGCCGCCCTCCTTGATCCCTGCTGCTTGTGGGGGTCTGCACGTGGGTCCTGCGCTGGCGCTGGGGCCCCACCCATCCCTGCTGACTGCCCTCCCGGCCATCCATGTGCCACGCCAAGAACTCCCTGCTACTGTCTGTGAAGGTGCTGCAGGCGCCTTTGGGGGCCTGCTGGGGAGGGGAACCGGCCTGGGCCAGGTTATCTGACTGGCAGTCGCTATGGATGGGACTCAGGACAAATGGCTCAGAGGGGGCCCCTGGGGGTTTGACACAGGCTGGTCTTCCATGGCGAGGAGAGGACCTGGGCCAGGAGCTCACTGGGTTCTGGAAAGGGCAGACCCGTTTGGATCAGCAGGTAGTCCCTGTGCGGGAGAGGGCTGGCTGGGCGCCACAGGACTTGAACTTGGAGATACCTGTGCTGCCCCCCCACCCCCCACCTCCACCCCGGGCCAGTGGCATGTGGCACGCCTCCCTTCCTTCCCAATTTCACATGGGGAGGCCTGGCTAGACCGGTTCCCTCCCTCCCTCCCTCCTTTCTCTTTCTCTTTTTCTTCTTTCTTTCTTCTTTCCCCTTCCCTCCCCTCCCCTCCCGTCCCCTCCCCTGAACTAGTCGGGAAGGCACGCTCACACCGATTCAATTCGGGCCCGCGTTGCGGGGCGCAGGACCTAACAGTGCTCCGGGCCTGGCCCCCCAGCCCCTCTGTGCAGCCGGTCAGCGCCCACTCTCTGGAGAGCGCTCCAGGGGCACGTTTTGTTCCTTGGCACGGAAGACAAACACAGGTGCGTGCACTTCTCTCTGCTTCCCCACCAATGGCAGTTTGCTATTTGCCGTTTTCACTATTTTTTTTTTTTTTTTTTTTTTTTTTGCTGCAGAGTGTGGCTTAGAGACTCAGGTTTCCCATCACTTCAAGAACAGCCTTCTCTTCCCCCAGCCCTTTTTCTTTTTAACGTGAAGGCCTCGCTCTCACCGCCTCTCCCTGGTCGCCCAACCAGGACCTGCTACCCCCCCGCCCCACCGCCCCCACAGCCAGAACGAACGGGCTCCCTTTTGTTTGTCTTCCTCCCAAGAAATCAGGAATTTATGATGCACCGGGGCCACCTGGAAAGCCTGGAAAGAGTCGGCTTGAGAGAAAAAGAGTCACACCCATGTTGGCCAGGGTGACCTCAGGACCACCAGACTTGTCCTTTATTCCCCTTGGTGTGCTTCCCGGCCTGGTGCGCAAGGGGCAGGGGCGAAGCCTCCCCCACCGCCTGCCCTGGCCCCTCCAGGAACCGAGGTGGAGGGAGGTCGAGGGCAGGGGACCGGAGCAGGGGCCGGGGCGGGGCGGGGCGTGGGGCGGGGTAGGCCGGGAGGTCTGGGCTCGGTGTGCCTGGCAGCCGGCCTGTGCGTTTGCGGAACCCACACTTTGGTGGAGGCCATGCCGCCAGCCCCATGATGACCAAGCCTGGGCTGGGCTGTGGGGTCTCAGAGGCAAGCCAAGCGCTGTCCCTGGGCACCTGGGGGTAAAGCTGCGTCGTGTCCTGCGCCGTCCGTCCCAGCGGGAGGGCGGGCTCGGGCCTCTGCGGCAGCTCCCGACGCCTCCCAGTGGGCCTGGAAGAGCCAGGGGTGCCGGTCGAGCAGAGGGGTTGGGTGGATGAGGGCGGGTCTGCGAGGAGGTGAGGGCCTGGGGGTGGAGGTGGGCGATGAGCAATGCGGTGACCCAGCTCTTCTCGGCCAGTGCCGTCCCCAGCCTCCTCACGTCTCAGTAAAGGGCTCTGCCCTCCCTGGTCCAGCCCTTAAAGGCGCCTCGACTCTGTTCGCTTTGCCCCTTCCTCATCCTGCCGACCTCAGAGCGGCCTCCCCACTGGCCAAGCCCACTCTGTTCCCGAGCGCCTGCCCGGGCGCCCTGCGTTCATTGACGCTTCCGCGTCAGACCACGGCACGCCCCTGCACCCCCTCAGCCGGGGGCTCCCTGCGGCCGAGCCGGCAGCCCCCGACTCTGCCCCGGGGCCAGCTTGTCCTGTGCCTGCCCTCGCGTGCCAGCCTCCGAGCCGCCGGGCTTCCTTCTCCTCCAGAGCCGCCAGCAGCCAGCCCCTCCGCGGGCCCCACAGCTGCTCTTCCCGGCTGGGACTCGCCCCGGGCTCGGCGGGGCCGGCCTCTGGTGTTCCAGGGACCCTGCCCTGCAGCCACCCCCCCACGACAGCTTCTGGGTTGTTCCCTGGTTGCCACGCCCGAGGAGAGAGGCTCAAAGGGGCTGCCCAGGTCTGAGGACTGACCCCTCTCCGTGGCGGGGCGGGGCCCAGGTCCACGGGGCTCGACGGGTCCCACCCTCCCTCCATCCTCCTCCCTCCCTCCCCCGCCGCCACCCCCGGCCCTCTGACCTGGAGCAGTGGGGCATCATGCGACCTTGGCCAGAAGAATCGTGGCCAGCAGCAGCCCCGCCATCAAAGGTGGGCAGCCGCCGGGCAGGAGGGCGGTGCCTAAGGAAGGAAAGGTGGAGGACCCGGTGAACGCGGGAAGGGGAGCAGGTCGCTCACGCCGACTCCTCCAGGGCGGGCAAGGTGCCCGGGGCCGCCCCGCGAGCCCCCTGAGTTCATGTCTCAGCACCCCTCTCGGGCTCCCTGCCGTGCGCACCGGTCCCGCGGCGGCCCGGCTCCCGGGCGGGCGGCCCTCGCCCCTGAGGCGGGGCAGGGGGGAGGGGATGGGAGTGGGAGGGCGGCAGAGGACCACTCCGGGAAGAACCCCCCTGAGTGACCCCGGGGGAACGCGGGTTCCATGGGACCAGGAGCCCGGAGGGAGTTCCCCCGCAGAAGACCTGGCCCCAGGCAGGCAGCCCTTTCTCTGGCCCTCAGCCTCCCTGTCTTGAACATGCCCACGCCCGGCGGCCCCCCTCCTGCGCTGGTGGTGGGCGGCCGTGCTCCGCACGGTGCCAAGCGCTGTGGGCATGTCAGGGACAGGGAAGGAGGAGGCAGTCGCGCAGTTGGCGGGGGCGCCCTGTTCCCCACGGCACCGGCACCCCCCGCCGCTGGCGGAACGGGTGCCGGCGGCGGGCGGCACCTCACCTGAGCGGGTTGTGGGCGGCGGGGTGCTGGGGCGCCCGGTGCCGCCCTCGGGCGCCAGCACAGGCAGCAGGGTGCCGAGGTGCCCGTCGTTGGCCTCGGGCACGATGCCCAGCAGCCGGCACAGCAGCTCGTACACGTGGACGCTCTCGAAGGGCTCCACCTCCAGGCCCCGCCGGAAGCTGGGGCCCACGGCCCGGAAGATGGTCTTCATGTCCATGACGCCGTTGTCGAAGCCGTGCTCCCCGTTGTTGAACTGCACGTTCAGCCTCTGCGGGGGAGCATCCTGAGCGCTCCTGGGGACGCGTGCCGCCTGCCCGCGCGCGCCACAACTCCCCCTCCCCCGCAGGGACAAGGGCGGGGGCTCCCACAGGGGTGCGCGCGTGGGGACAGGCGGGGCTCCGAGCCTCAGTTCCCCTGCCGAGAGAGCCCCCGGCAGAGCGGGCGACGTGAACGGGGGCCCCAGTATACAGGGTGGGGCTGCTGTCCGCAGGCAGCGCCCCGGGCCCCCGGTGACCGCCTGCCCCTTCAGGACTTTCTTCCTGGGTCCCATGCCCCTACCGTGCGTCTTGTTCGCCGTCAGCCCCCCCTTGGCCTTGGGGGGTCGGCCCTCTCGCTCTGCCTCATCCCTGTCGCTCTTATGGCTGATATTTTGACACTTCACCCATAGGCACGCATGCGCGCGCGCGCATGCAAACATGCAGACGCACACACATGTATGGACATATAAACACGCACACAGGCAGAAGACTTGCACACACATGCATGCACATGCACACGCGCACACACACTCCTACGGCGCGGTGATGACTGCGTCCCTTTGGTGGTCAGTGCCCCTCAAACTGGCGACTAGCCAGAAATGGGGGTGCTCCTTATAGGGAGGGGGAGACCCTGCAGCCCAGGAAAGGGGCCCCCGGCCACGCCTCCTGTGGGCAGCTCACCCCGTGGATGACGTAGCCGGGGTCACTGTACATGAGCAGCGGCGTGATCCGGGGGTGGTTGGCGTAGTGGAAGAACTTGGGGAAGGACTCCTTCTTGTAGACGTGGAGCTTGGGGTGCGCGTCCTTGAGGACCTCGTAGACCTTCTCCAGCTGCCCGTCCTTGGGGAGCAGCATCCCGTTGGGCCCGTAGTCGAGGAGCTCGAACTCGATGTCCTTGAAGGTGAAGTTGGGGAACTTGTGGAACTCCACCAGGTCGCCGGCCGCCTTGTTGACGGTGGTCATGCCGTGGTCGGACGTGATGATCAGGTTGAGGCTGCTCTCGAGGCCGCTGCGCCTGATGCTGTCACGGAGGTAGCCCACCGTCCGGTCCACCTGCGCCACCATGTCCTTCCTCTGCTGGGACTCGGGGCCGTACTTGTGGCCCGTGGAGTCCGGCTCCCCGAAGTAGAGTGTGACCAGGTCCAGGCCCTCCTCCGTGAACCACTTCATCACGGTGTCGATGTTGGCTCTCCATTCCTTCTCGTCTTTGTAGTTGTGCAAAATGCCTTCCTTCCGGCTCAGCGTCACGGCCGTGCCCTGGTAGGTGACGTTCCCGCCGGGGTAGAAGAAGGAGCCGGTCCGTAAGCCCTGCGGGAGAGGCAGCACTGACACACGCGCCCACCGCGGACCGGCTCCCGCGCGGCCCGGGGCTGCTGTTTGCCCCCAACCCACCCCTGCTCCGAACCGCTGCTACAGGCCTTTTAACTTATTATTATTATTATTATTAAAGATTTTATTTATTTTTAGAGAGAGGGGAGGGAGAAAGAGAGCGAAACATCCATGTGTGGTTGCCTCGTGTGCGCCCCCTACTGGGGCCTGGCCTGCAACCCAGGCCTGTGCCGTGACTGGGAATGGAACTGGCGCTCAGTCCACGGAGCCACGCCAGCCAGGGCCAGCCTTTTTATTTTCTGGAAAGCGTTCCATAGCTCTTATCTGAGGCCGATAGTGATTTTATAGAGGAGAGAGCAGGTGCGCGGTGGACTCAGCACAAATGAGATAAGGGATAGACAAGGGTCCTGGATACGCAGCGTCCTCACCGCCGCGGCGCCCCAGGTCGCCGCCCTGAGGATAAGATGCCCAGATAGCACCCCCACCCTCTCTGGCCTGCAGCCCGGCCTCTCCCTGCCGCAGTCACGCCCAGGCCTGTGTCGTCGGCCCCTCTACCACGTCCCACTGCCTGTCCCTTCCAGCCTTCACCCTGGCCATGCGTCCGTCCGTCCTTCCATCAGCCACCTGCTACCTCACTTACGGGTCCACCTGTCCTCCCAGCCGTCTGTCCACGTGTGCCCGCCCGCCCGCCCGGCCCCCCAGGCCGCGCTCCCAGCTTCGCCTCCCTGCGACCGAGCCTGGCGTCCGGCAGCTCCTTCCGGAGACGGGGGACTCGCGCTGGAGCGGTGCCCTGCACTGGGCGGGGTGACCAGAATCACACGCCTGGGGCCAGGAAGCCCCCAGAGCGCTGCGGGACGGTGGATCTCCTGGGCCGACACTACGCCCCACCTGCTACTTCATCTTTGTCCCTGGAATTCACCTGCCCAGCCCCGAGAGGGCTGCCGGAGCGGGAGGGACGCAGCCGAGTCATCGCTACCTGCCTTTTGGGAGTGTGGGTTCTTTTGCTGTGCGGGCCCCCCTCCCTGGGTGCCAAGGGTCCAAAGGTGTAGTTTTCTCTACGCTGGACGATGGGGCCGTCCCTCCTGGCTCCAGGGCTCCGGGACGGACCCGGCAGGGCCGTGGAGCCGGCCGGTGGGTCCTGATGATTACCTGCCGCCTGCCTGCCTCGGGGCCCGCGGGGTCGCGGCCTCCCCCACCCCGCTCCCCTCCGCCGTCCGGGGGGGTGGGAGCAGCCTCACCTGCCTCTGGGCCGTGATCCAGATGGGCACGCTGCCATTGTCCCACCACCTCTGGATGCCCAGCGTGGCGTGGTAGGGCAGCTTCACCTTGCTGGTGGTGTTGTAGTACATGTTGTGGACCACGCCGTGGTTCTCGATGTACTTGCCTGGGGGGGAGGGAGGCGGCAGAGGGGCCGTGGGAGGGTGGGGAGCGGCCCCCCAGAGGGGCCGCGGGGCAGACTTTGTCACACACAGCCACAGGCCCGCGCCCTCGGACCCAGCAGCCCCGCTACATCCTGCCGCTCCCTGGCACGTGTACGGGCACACGCGTGCGGCGGGTCGCTTGCAGCCTTGCTTGTTTTAGCAAAAGATCAGGCACGACCCGGGTTGCTCTCGGGAGGGAACTGGCAAGAGAAATTACGGTCTGGCCGCAGCACAGCGTCCGAGGCAGGCGTCTAAGCAAACCAGGTGGAGGTCCCTGAGGCATCTTTTTAAGTTTGTTTTTTCCTTGGGAAATGCACCCATGTGAGTTCAGAAGGTACCAGAGGAGGGACCATGACAGCTGTGTCCCCCGCCTCTCCCTCCCCACTTGTGACATGTTAAGTAAAGTGGCAATGTGCAGAGAGGACAGCGCGTGGCTCCTGTCTGTGCGTGTCACACGCACCTGGGCCATCAGGGGCTCGGGCCACGGAGACGCTCACGTGAGGACGAGCCGTCTACGTGGAATAAAGTGCCGCCCCCCAGCGCCTCAGGACGTGATCTTGTTGGGAAATAGGGCCATTGCGATGGAATTGGTGGTTACGATGAGGGCATTCTGGGCTGGGGGCCTTAAATTCAGCGACCGTTGTTCTTACAAAAAGAAGAGGTTCCCGGTCACGGCCCAGGCCTGGGTTGCGGCCAGGCCCCCGGTCGGGGGTGTGCGAGGGGCAGCCTGTCGATGTACCTCTTGCATGAATCTCTCCCTCTCTTTCTCACTCTCTTCCCCTCTCTCTAAAAGGAAATCAATAAAATCTTAAAAAAAAACAAGGGAGAGAGAGACGGGAGACAGTCGCGTGACAGGCTCAGGGATCGCAGAGATGCAGCCGTAAGCCACGGGACACCCGGCGGCTGAGGCTGGGCGAGGCGGGGAGAGCCTCTGTCAGGGCCCTGCCCTCCCGGGTTTTCACTCCAGGGCGTCTGGGGGCGCGGTGGGGCGGGCAGCGGAGACAGCAGGAGCCCCAGGCTCTCCCCGCGGGCCTTTCTGAACCTCATCCGCCGCCTCCAGAGGCCTCCGGGTCGTCACCTTGGCTGCGGTCACCACGTAAAAAGAAGCCACTGCCTGTGTGCGTTTGCCCCTTATCAGCTGCACCAATGGTGAGGGCTGCTGACGGCCCCCTGGGCCGCGCTCTGTCCGCGCAGCCTTGTCTCCACGCGGGGACCCACGGGGCGGGCTGTGTGCACGCCCTGGTTTCCTTGGTTTCTCAGCGCCCCCGCCCGCCCCCAGGCCCGACCCAAGGCCGGCACTCACCAGTGACCAGGGTGAAGTGGCAGGGGCTGGTCATGGTGACGAAGGCAGGGGTCATGTAGCGGGCCTTCACGCCCTCACGCGCCATGGTGTCCAGGTTGGGGGTGTGCACGTCCTGGTCGTAGTCCCAGCGGAAGCCGTCGAAGGACACCAGGAGCAGTTTGTGCCGGGGGCCCTGCCGGCGGACGGGCAGCGCGGCCCCGGGGGCCAGGAGGGCGGCCAGAGCCGCGGCCAGGAGGACTGCCGAGCGGCTCATGGTGGTTCCTCCGGAGGCACTTGCAGCTGGGCGCGCTCCTGCCAGGGAGCAGAGCAAAGTCCCCGGCCGGCCTTATCCTGGGAATCGGAAAATGAGACCGCACTCACCCGTGTCTCAGAGAGAGGGCCTCCTCTGGCCTGGCCTGCCTTTATGGCCCGGGCCCCTCCCCCCGCGGGCCCTGTGTGTGTGTGTGTGTGTGTGTGTGTGTGTGTGGTCTCAGGGAGGGCGGGGACAGCCCTGTGGGCTTGGAGGGGAGGAGGGGCCCACGGCCCGGGATGGCCTAGTCTCCCCCCCAGCTCTGTGGCAACTCTCCGCCCCCGCGTCCTGCTCGCGGTGACTCCAGGGCCCCTAATTCGGGGCAGCCTTTGGGGGGTGTGGACCTCAGGCCTGCCCGGGCCAGGGCTGTGGGTGAGCCTCCCAGCGTGCAGGAGCTGAGAGCCAGCAGCCCAGCCAGGGCCGGCCTTGTCGGCGGGGAGCCCCAGCCCAGGGGCAGCTCTCCCCTGCCCCCCGAGGGTAGGCGGCCTCCGGGGACAGGGCAGGCAGAGCCCCCCCGATGCGCGGCTGCACCTCCCCCTCGGGCGCCGTGGCTCCTCAGACAGGCACGCGGGTGTGGGCGGTCTCGTTGGATGGACTTGGCCAGCACGGTGGTCAGAAGAGGGGGCTCCTGTGTCACCCGCGCCGACGGGGACCTGGGGCGAGTGTGAGAGGGGCCCTGAGCGCAGTGCACAGCTCTCTCTGGTCCTTTCTTTCTGCGTCTCGCTCTCTCCCTACCAACTTTTTTTCAAAAATTAAATTTATTGGGATGACATTGGTGAATAATCCTACCTACCTTGTGAAGCTCATTGTATGTGCCAGGCACTGTGCTACGTTCTGGGAACCTGGCCCTGAAGCAGACGGAAGTGGCTGCGTAATAAACCAGCCTTGGCTGGTGCAGCTCAGTGGACTGAGCGCCGGATTGCGAAGCGAGGGGCCGTGGGTTCAGCTACCAGCCAGGGCACAGGGCTGGGTCGTGGGCCAGGTCCCCAGCAGGGGGCGCGTGAGAGGCAACCGCGCATTGATGTTTCTCTCCCGCTCTTTCTCCCTCCCTTCCCAATAAATAAAGTCCTTAAAGAATAAGCTAGTGAGACTCACCCAAAGCAAATACAGCAGGGAGACTAGATGGGAGGGCCCCAGGGGGCTCGGGGAGCAGCACCCGATAGGCAGTGGGCAGGGCCTCCCGAGAGTGTGGCAGGGGAGGGCGAGTCCAGTGTCCGGGCGAGTACTGGGGTCGAGGTGACTTGGGGGCAGGGGGCAGCAGGGCTCGGCGGGGCGCCCCGAGGACCTGGCACGCAGTCCCGCATCCCGAGCCCCGGGAGCTTTGAAGCGAGGCAGTGGCACTGACAGATCTGACATTAAAAGAGAAGCTGCCCCATTTGTAGGCTGATGGTGGTCGGCGTGAAAAAGGAATGGATGTCGAGTGCTGCTGAGCCGGGAGGTGACTGCTGCTGTCCCCGCGGGAGGTGCTGGTGGCCTGAACCTGGGTGGCGGTTGTGGGAGTGGCAGGTGGGGAAGGGAATTTGGAGACCACCCCCAGACTGCTCGTGGGGGAGACGGAAAAGGAAGCAATCCAGGGGGACGTCCAGTTCGAGTCCAAGCAGCTGGGGCAATGGTATCACCAAAGGTCGGGTGGTCAGAGGGGAGGCCGCTGGAGGACCAGCGACTGGAAATGTGGTGGAGGAGGGGAGTGCTCCAGCTTGAGGCCGGGAGGCGGGTCGTGGAGGAGCCTGGATTTTATGCTAATACAATCTAATATCTAAAATGGAATTTAATGTAAACTCTATCTTTGGAACAAGATGGCTGCCAAGAATAAAGACTACATTTCCCACCATTCCCTTCAGGGAGACACAGTCACATGACCATACCCTGGCCAATGGAGTCGAAGAAAGTACCACGTGACATTCCATCTCTTCCACTCCCCAGTTTTGCCGCCCAGAGCTCCGAGGCACCGCCCCCTCCACACCCACTGGGCGCGATGGGGAGGGGCTCCGCGGGGCAGGCCCCCGGAGGAGCCCAGGGTTGCCCGGCCCGCCGCAGGCCCGCCGAGAGAGTCCGCACAGGGTTGGGGTTTGCGTCGCTGTCAGCGGGACGCAGGCTGAGACGAGGATAGGAGGACGCGACGATGGGAGGATGGGAGGATGGCTGCGGGAGGCGCTGCAGGGTTTCGGAGGGAGGCACGGGGCGGGTTCGCTGCTACCAGCGCCCAAGGGGCCCGGGGGACGAGGGAGGGGCTGCCCCGTGGTCCGGGGTGAGGCCCGGGAGGCACAGGCAGGGCTGCCTGGGGGCGGAGCTGGGCCTGGGCAGGCGCGTGTGGGGCGGCGGTGAGGGACCCGATTCTGTCCCCGCCCTGCACGGCCCCTCCTGGCCCATCGGAGCGCGGGGGTGCCTCCTGCTCGCCCTGCCCTTCTCGGGGCTCCTTAGCTCGGCCTCCGTCAGCTCTCTTTTTCTTCCCTCATCCCCTAGCGCAAGCGTGGCTTTTACCCACGATCACATTCCAGCAGGAGTGCTTGAAGGCAGGAGTTAGTGACATCCTCTTCTTACGGGTGGGGAAACTGAGGCAGGCAGCGGTAGACGGTCACTCAGTGAGTGGAGGAGCTGGGCCGTGAATCCAGGCTCCGCACCTCCCCTTGGAACCACGTCTAGACGCCATGAGTTTACCGCCACTTAGGACCCTGTGGGGCTGTTGGGTTTTTCTTTTTTCTTTCCAATGGGGCAGCTGTGGGTACCTTGGCAGCACTGGCTTTTTTTCCTTTACACTCACATTATTTCCTTGGGGCTCAGGACCTAGAGAGGGGCTATGAGTTCCGACCGTCCGCCTGCCCTCGGGAGTGGTTGACGCGGGTAATTGTTCCGCATTTCCTCTGCCCCACTACCTTCATTAGGTTTTATTTTCTACTCCTTTTGGGCGGCCTAATCGGTGCTCAGTAGGGTCCTCAAGTATTAAGTCAGAGAGGCTAGGAGGCTTCCCGGTTCACGATTTCCTCTCTCAGCCCCCACGTGGGCGGGCGTCGTTCATCGGCTCCACAGCCGGCGGGGAGGGACAGCGTGCTCAGGCCCTTCCTGGACCTCGCCGTGCGTGCTATTTCCTGTAGACTTTCTGAGTTTATGCTTGTCCTCGTGGCTCTCTCCGCTCCCTTGCCCTCCGGCCGTCCTTCAGGTGGGAAGTAGCTTGAGCCCCCCTGAGCCCACGGGGCCTGTCTTGTCCCCTGTTGTCCTGCAAGCCCAGCACAGTGCCAGCCCAGGTGCGGGCTCAGTGCATATTGGGTGGGTGAATAGATACACAGAGGGAAAATTTATGCAAACATCTGTGACGCTTCCGGATTAGGCAAAACATTGAAAAAAATAAACTACATTAGAACAATTTTAGGTGCAGGGATAAGTTGCAAAGATAGTTTCCATACAACCCAGGCGCGTCATTAACGCCTTGCCGCAGGCCGAGCCGCCGCGCAGTTGACGAGCCAACGCTGATAATGTGAGCCTTAGCTCGGATTGCCCCCGCCCGGGCGGACGTCCTCGCTCCGTACCGGGACCCTCGTTCCACAGACTCCCTGCGTCTCCTTGCGTGCTTCTTGGCTGTGACTGTTTGCCAGACTGGCCTCGTTTTTGGTGACAAGGGCAGTTCTGAGGAGGGCTGGCCAGGCATTTTGCAGACTGTTCCACAGGCGGGATTATCGGATGTTTTTCTCTTGATTAGCCTGGGGTCCTTGGAGGCCCCCGCTTCCCGCCGGGATCAAGTGCCCTCTTATCACAGCCCAGCAGGGCACAAGCCATCACCGTGGCTGATCGCTGTCGCCGTGACCTCGGTCCCCTGGCCAAGGTTATGCCTGCCAGTTTTCTACCCCGTAACACTACTCTGTCCTACCTTCCCTTTCCACCCTCTGCTTTTCGGAAGGCAAGTCGTCCTTGCCGCTGCACCTCGGGAGGGAGCGGTCCCGCCCCATGTCCCGGGGCCGAGCAGCGGGGCGGCATTCTGAGTCCCTCCGGGACGCGCATCTTCTCCGCGTGTCTCGGTCCGCTCGATCCCTCGATCGCGCGCATCGGGATGGACTCGGGGCTGTTTGCTCTGCGCTGGAGTCGCAGCCCAGCGCCGCTTCGTCTCTCTCGTTGCTCGACTCGCCTGCCCTTGCCGCCGGGGGCCTTCTGCGGCTCCCGCACCCCTTTGACGCAGCCTCATCGTCTTGTTCCCTTGCTTCCTGGCACTCGGGACATCCCAGGCTCACCTCGTACCCCCGGTCCCAGCCGGCCCTTTCTCGAGGGGCCTCGGGACCTTTCACTGGAGATCTTAGGGACCAGGAGCTGGGTGCTGGGGGCGCTCCTTGCAGCCCGGGTGTTGGTAACACATTTTAAAGTTGTCACCCCAGCTGTTCCTGAAGCTGTGGCCCCCCAGCCAAGCCAGGCGGATGTGTAGCGCGAGAGGGGCCGGTCCAGGCCCCATGCAGTGTCACGGGCTGACTGCGCGCCGCGCTGGGTCAGGTGCTGAGGTCACTCCGTGGGGATGTGGCGGGAAGCGCTCAGCTGCCTGCCCGCTGCTTTTCTTGCTCAGGGGTCCTCGGGGCCCTGGAGGACGTGACCCAGAGGCCTCCTCGGCCCGGGCGGGGACCGGTGGGTGTGCCGCATGCACAGGTGCACGTGGACCCGTGCGGCTCAGCCGTGCACGGCGCTCCCGCGGGGAAGGCGCAGCCTGCCCAGCCCTGTGCCGGCTTCCTCTGGGGTCGGGGACATGCCGGGCGTTGTCCCTCTCAAGGCCAGCCCCCTGGCAGTGCCACCGTTCTCATTCGTAGCCTGGTAGGAGTGAATGCCACGCACGGGTTTCTGCGTCTCCCACGGGGCTGGGAGGGACGCGGTGGCCTCGGCCCCCGGCCCGGGGCCCAGCACACAGTGGGCGCTTGCTGACGCTGAATGTCCGAACGACAGCCCGCATGGCGGCGTTTGCAGGGCCCCACCGTGGCCACGCCCCCGGCCGA